TTGAACCGCCAGCCATCTGGTTAGCAGGCAAGTGTCTTAGCCACTATGTTACCAGAGCTCCCTCCCTACTCATAGAGACCCCTTTTGGGTTTCCAAGGCTGTAAATCTTTACAGAAGTAGATTGTCTCATCTTTCTCCTGCAGAGCAGCTGGTGGGTTTGAACTGCAGACCTTCTGGTTAGCAGCCAAATGCTTTACCCACTCTGCCATCAGAGCTCCTTAGATATGATTTACCTTTGATTAAAAATCTGGAATATAAAGATATTAAGAAACTTGTAGTATTAGAACCCTGTATTTTCTCTAATGAACTGGTGCTTTTAACCACCATACTAAAATGACTCCCTTTACTTATTGCTGTTATTAGGTGCCATCAAGTCAGCTGTGACTCACAGCAACCCTATGTACAACAGAATGAAACATTGTCTGGTCCTGTGTCATCTTCATAATCCATGCTTTCCTTGAGCCATCATTGCAACCACTGTGTCAATCCATCTTGCTGAGGGTCTTCCCCCTTTTCAATGACCTTCTTTACCAAGCATATCTTTCTCCAGGGAATGATTCCTTCTGACAATATGACCAAAGTAGGTGAGACAAAGTCTTGCCATTCTCATTCCAAGGAGCATTCCGGCTGCACTTCCAGGACAGCAGAAGTAAAGGCTTTTTATTTAGAGTGGTTCTATTCAATGTCCTTTTAGTTATTTACTTATTTTTTAAAAAGTTAGTTTTATTCTGGAAAAAAATAGAACGGACTTACCTTGGCTTGATCATATTCCATTCCTATTCCATAAGAAGACAAAAATCCTAAGGCCTAAGGCCCAAAAGAGAAAGCAAAACTCAATAAATCCATTTATTTCATAGTTAAACCAACAAACAATAAAACTCACTGCCATCCAGTCAGATCTGACTCATAACAACCCTCCTTGGGTTTCTGAGGCAGTTTTACCATGGAAATAGATTGCCTAACCTTCCTTCCGAGGAGTGGCTGGTGGGTTTGAACTGCCAGCCTTCTGGTTAGCAGCAAAATGCCTTAGGCACTATGCTACCAGAGCTCCTATTTCTTTATTTTTTTTATATTATTATTAATTTTAAGAGCTTGTTTTACATTCAACGTAACGTGTACATTTAGTTTCATTCCTCATTCACCATGTCCAATGCTAACCAAGTCTCCTCCCCTCCCTACCCTGTAACCCTTCCCCTGTGCCCCTCATATTTATGCACTCCTGTTTGTCTTGCATTTCCTCCATTTGAATGTTGGTCCTCCGGTGTCCTGTGGTCTATTGCTCTAAGGGTTGTATTACCATAGAGTATGTGGATGCATCATCCTGGGTTGAGTGGTCTGCATGTACATCTTGTTAACTATTGGGCTGAGAGCCAACCCTGGGGGTGAGTTTTATTCCAGGTGCAGAATATATTCCAGGGCCATAATACTGGGGGTCTCACCAGATTTCATCTGACCAGTAATTCTGGTCATTATTGAATTTTTGGATTTTGTTCCACATTTTCCCTCCCACTCTATCCAGGATCTCCAGATTTGATCCTTTCCTGAGTGGTTGGCATTGGTAGCCAGGCACCATCTAGTTCTTCTGGTGTCCTATGGCTGATTGCTTCTAAATGCCCTTGTTTTTTTATTTTTTTTGCATTCATCTTTGCTTCTGATACTAGGACACCATTAGCTGCATCTTAGATGGCTGCTTGAAAGCTTTTAAGACCCTAGCCGCTACTCACCAATGTAGGATGTGGTGCAAGGGTTTTATGTATTTTGTTGTGCCAACTGAGTCTGGTGTCCCCTAGTACTATGGTCCTGAGACAGCAGATCTATTGGATTCTCTCCCATAATGTCCACCAGAGCTCCTATTTAGGCTTCTCTGTATTGATAAAGGATATTTTAAATGTCTGCTCTATAATTTCATTCTTAATTTATATCCTATATCATAACAAAGTATCTTTTTACACTTTTCTTTATAAGTCTGCAAGCATTTGGAAAAGGCTAAATAGTAGGAGGTTTACATAAATATATGAAAATAGACTAACACTTACTGTACTTTAGTATAAATTATAATAATAAAACATAGAAACCAAATGGTCCTTATGTGCTTTCCTTTCTTGGCACTGAAAAGCTTATTCCTTCAATATTTTTGCACTTATTGAATTTGAATATTTTTCTTCATATTTTTTAAAATGAAGTATAACTAATGCAAAAATTCAAACAGTAAGAAATATATTGGATAAAAATGAACATCCCCCTTTATTGGTCCATCCCCACGACAATAATAGTTTGGTGTGTTATCTTTTTAGGCCATTTTCTAAGCATTCACATAAACAAACAAATTAAAAAAAATGAAACAAAACAAAAAAAACCCTGTTGCTGTGGATTCTATTCTGATTAATGTGTACTGCATGTGTGTATTGTAATACTGTGGTAAATAGGGTTTTCAAGATTGTGACTTTTTGGAAACAGATTGCCAGGTCTTTCTTCCCAGTGCCTCTGGGTTTATTTTGAATCACCAATCTTTGGCTCAGTAGTCAAGGGTTAAACCATTTGTGCCACACAGAGACTCCCAAACAGTCACATATATCTGGATATAGTTGTGGATTTTGTTTGCTTTTTGTTTTTGAAGGCTTCCCCACAAACACTGATTTGGAATGCCACTGTTATATTAAATTTTCTTATATTCATGGGTTTATTTCTGGACTTTCTGGTTCATTGGTTTTCAATCACAGCTGCTCAATGAACTCTCTTGCAGAACTTTTAGAAAACTCTGATCCCACTCTGGGTGATTCTTTTGCATTGAGTCTCAGAGGGAAACTAGAGCCTTTAGATTTTCAGAAAGTTCCATAATCATTCTGATGAACTGCAGGTCTAGTTCAGTGCCTCTCAAACTCTAATGTGCACAGAAATCACCCTGGGATCTTGTGAAAATGCAGATTTTTATTCAGTAGGTTTGGAGTGAAGCCTCAGTTCTAAAAAGCCCCTGCTGGTGCAAACCCACCAGCCACTCCTCAGAAGATTGGGCAATCTACTTCCGTAGTGATATTGCCTCAGAAACCCAAGGAGGGCTCACTATGAATCAGATACAACTCAACAACAATGAGTTTGGTTTTGCTTTTTGGTCCACAAAAACACTGTAAATGGTAATCCAGAACACATTGCTGTGGAGTCAATTACAACTCATAACAACCCTTTAGGACAGGGTAGAACTGCCCTATAGGGCTGCCAAGGCTATAATCTTAACAGAAACAGACTGCCCCATCTTTCTCCCGGGGAGCAGCTTGTGGATTTGAACTGCCGATCTTTTGGATAGCAGACAAGCACTTTACCATTGCGTCACGAGGGCTGCTTATAAATGGTGAAGGTCTAGTCAATTTGAAATTTTCTGGGACAAAACAGAATTGTGTTAGTTACTGTAGGTTAAGGTATCTTTTGATACTTGATGAAGAAACTCTTTTTCCATTATTACACCTTTTTCCCAAAAAAATATTTATGTGATATTCTTATAACTCAACCATCATAGATAAATATTATTATCTGTTTTCAAAATATCATTAAAATTACATAAAGTAATTTTTCTCTTGATATATTTGGAATCTTTTTCCCTGACAGTAAATGCTGTGTGGACATACTATAATTTAACAGCATAGCCAGTCTCCTTTATTTTCAGTATTATTGAAAACATTGCAATTCTTATACATGAACAGGTATATTTTTTCTAGGATAAATAACTGGAAGTGGAATTGCTGAGTAAAATTGGACATGCATTAAACATTTTGATAATTCTGCCAAATTGTCCCCCGAAAATGTTACACAAATTTATGCTCTTGCTTAAAGTATGTGAAATATCCATTCTTCTATACTCTCAACAATACATAGCATCAGTGTTTAATTTTTTAGTTTTATCAATTTAATTCATTAAAAATTACTGTTATTGTTTTAATATAATTTCCCAGAGTAAAAGTGAAATTGAACATTTTTTCTTACTTATGGCCATTTAATTTCTTCTGCCACTGTCCTGTTCATATCCTTTGCCCATTTATACTGGATTTATTTATGTTTTCTTATTGATTTGTAGCATTTTATATACTTTGGATATTGTCATTTGTTTGTAATATATCTGGTAATTATTTTCTCCTAGTTTTGCCTCTTATAATTGATTATACTGTTTCATTATACAAAAAAATTTGAAGCTTTTATAGTAAAATTTATCAATTTTCCTATGGAATAAAACAAATATCAATAATAAATCTTTAGAGTGATTTTTATGTAATAATATGCCATCTGTTTTATATTTGACATGGATGCAACTGCATATTACAAGTCTTCATATTGCTTTCTCAGATTATGTGTTCACTAAACTTCTGTTGAGGAGCTGTGGTGACACAGTGGTTAAGCTTGTGGCTACTAATTCACAGGTCAGTGGTTGGAACCCACTAGCTGCTCCACGGCAAAAAGATAGGGCAATTTGCTTTTGTAGAGATTGCAGCTGAGTGGCTGGTGGGTTTGAACCACCAGCCTTCTGGTTAGCTGTCAAGTGCCTTAGGCGCTATGCTACCAGAGCTCCCAATTCTGTCCTAAGTCACTGTTATTTTGAGTGTCAATCATGTACAGCTAAATCTATACCCTGGGATGTCTCTAAATTGAGATGGGATATGCTCAAGGTATTTTCATTCCTCAGAAGGAAGGTTGGGCAATCTACTTTCGTAGTGATACTGCCTCAGAAACGCAAGGAGGGGTTGCTATGAGTCAGGTCCAACTTAACGGCATGTAACAACAACAACAACACTCAAGGTTGTACTTCGGCTCTCATGGACATTTTTTAATTTTCTTTAGTTTCCACTTGAACTTGCATATGAGCAATTGATGATCTTTTCTGCATTTGGCCTCTGATCTAGTTCTGACGGATGACATTGAGCTTCTCCATAATTTCTTTCTGGCTCCCTGGTGAAAGAGTGGCTAAAGTACTCAGTTTTAACTGATAGGGGTGGTTTGAACTCATGAGTTGTTCCATGGGAGAAAGATATGTCAATCTGTTTCCATAAAGATTTACAGCTGTAAAAGCCTGTAACAGTTCTACTTTGTCCAATAAGGACACTATGAGTCTGAATTGACTCTATAGCAGTGTTTTCTGTTTGATCTTTTTGTTATCATCAATTTCTACAGATGTAATTGATTTGGTTCCTGTGTATTCCATCCAATGAGATACAGGTGTATAGTCATAGCTTATGTTGTTGAAAAAAAGATATTTCCAATTAATAAATTGTTGGTCTTGCACAATTCCATCATGCAATCTCCAGAGTCATTTCTATTACCAAAAGTCATATTTTTTCAACTACTGATTCTTCTTCTTTGTCTCCATCTTTTTATTCCAATCATCAGTAATCATCAGTGCATCTTGATTGATTGGGGTGACTAATCTTTGACATGTTCAATTTGTTCTATAACCAGAATAAACAAACTCACTGACATAGAGTATATTGTGACTCATAGTGACCCCCTTTGGGTTTCCAAAGTGGTAAATCATTATGGAAGTAGATGGCCCAGTCTTCCTTCCACATTTGTTCTATAGTTATAGGTTTATTCTTGGTTTCTATCTTATTTATTTAGCCACCGGTCTGTCAGTTTGCCATACTGTGGTGGCTTGGATGTTGCTATGATGCTGGAAACTATGCCTTTGGTATTTCAAATATCAGCAGCATCACCCATGGTGCACAGGTTTCAGCAGAACTTCCAGACTAAGACAAATTTGGAAGAAATTTGGTGTCCATGGCTAGGACCACTTCTGAAAAAATTGACCACTGAAGCCTTATGAATAG